ATTTTTATTTGTAAGTTATTTTTTATTTTTTATATATTATTTACATTATAATATAATTATTACTTTAAATTTAATTTATTTAAAATGTATAAGTAAATTAAAATTATAAAATAAATGCCTTGGGGTATCCAACAAAATTCAATGAAGACGAGAATGAATTTTAAAAATAGATTAAATTAAATTTTTAGTCTTTTATCTTATTTTTAAGATTTATTTTGATAATTTATTTTATAAAAAATTTTAATTTTAGTTTTTTATCTTTTAAATTTGCATTGATTTGACCTTTTTGAAAAATGATTATTTTTAATATTTTTGAAATTTTTTTACTAATTCATAACTTAAAACTTATCTTATAGATTCACTTATATTAAAATGACTAAACACAACTAAAATTCACATTAAAAATTTCTTAAACACAAGGAAAATGGTATAAACATAAGTTAAAATGGAAATTAAAAAAATCTAATTTTATATTATTTTTTAATTACATATGAGATATATTTTCATGTGATTTTCACTATAATTATAATTCTATTGCATTTGAACAATAATTGGATTTCAAGAGTATCATGTTATAAGTTTCAAGTCTTAAATCAATTAAAAATTGATTTAAAATTATGCTACAAAATTTAAAATGATCATTTTTTCTAAAGAATTGAATTGATCTAAATATAAAAAATAAAAAATAAAAATAAATTATTTAATAAATAAATAATCAAAAATGAATGTAATAAATAAAATTAATATATATATATATATATATCATTCTTATAAATATAAATTCATTTCTTTAAAATCTAAACCTACTTCATCTATTACGGGAATAAAGGCGAATTTCCTATTTAAGAATAACAAGGAAAAATATAAATAAAATTTTCTCGAGATACCTTCCATGGAAAAGAAATGGAGGAGTAGTTTTTAATGTTTTTCTTTAACCATTATGTTATGAATGTTTCTTCTTCTTCTTTTTATAACCATTATGTTATAAAGCTATATAGTTTTTCTTAAAAAGTAAAACTCACCCATCATATGTCTGGTGTAATTAAAACATTGATAAAGACAAAAGGGAAAAAGAATGCATTAGTTATAGTCCAACGCAATTCATTTTACTTACCAAATTACCTTTTTAGTAAATGCTTGAGATTCAGTGTTTTCAAATCGGATTGGATCGGTTCATCAGACTGGTTGAACCAAGAACCAATAATTAATGGTTCAGCCTATTCAAGTTTTGAGTTAGATCAGTTATGTATTTGATCCGTTTCAAATTGAAATGAACTAGTTAATTTTCTAGTTCGACTAGTAAATTAGTGGGTCAAACCGATTCAACCACAAATTTTTTTTTATATTTTTTTAAGGGACCACAAAAATAACAATAAGAATTAAATCTTGTTAATGAAAGAACAAATAGTCTTATTAAACATAACAATAAATAATTGTTCTAATATATTTGTTTGTAATATATACAACCTAAATAACTTTTATAATATATTATTAATTTTAAGTTATATATTTAATAATATAATATCTATTTAGATATTATATATATTATTTTGTGATATCAATTGCAAGTATATTATATATGTATATATTAATTATATTTTTAATTTGTATTAATATATAGTTTAACATGTAATTTTTTTTTATGTATTTCTTCATATAAAATAAAAATAAAGATAATTTTAAATAAGATGGAAATTGAATTTTAAAATAGGTTATGAATTTATTGAAATTTATAAGTATAAAATATATTTAACATAAATATTTTAAAAAAAATTAATAAAAATCAGATCATGCAATTCAATTAGTAATTCATCAATTCAACTTTTAACCTACTCACCAAGTACTTTAACTGATTTGATGATGAGTCCGATTTTTAAATTTATGCATAAGGTAGTCTAAAAACATACATCACATGAATTTAGTCTTTTATGAAATTAAATTATATTTAATTTTTCAGTCATGTGAAGCGTTGTAGTGTGGACTTAATTTTAGATACTAAATTATGGTGAAGAGAAAAATGTCGAAAGAAAAGAAAGATCGAGATAAAATTGATAGTTGGTAGGATGAATATTCAACCATGGAAACCATACATTTACTTTATAAATAAAAAGTTTAGCAACCCAAACGAATAAGCGATAAACATTTTACTTCTGCTAAACACGGACGGGAGCTGGTTGAGTGAGACTTCTGCTTTGGGGATGAGTGGAGTAATTCGTGATTGGGCAGGTATGTGGCGGGGCTTTTCGCATGGAGCGTTAGCTGGTGATCGCGTTACGTGCAGAGTTGTTGGCCTTGGAAGAGGGCCTTTCGTTTTGTTGGGAAAGTGGAGTTAGGAAGGTGAGCTGTGAATGTGACTGCATGGGAGCTGTTAAGTTGTTTCAAGACTGGCCAACGGATAGAAATCACCTACACAAGCACTATGATGTTATTCGGCGCGTCCGGCGATTACTTGCCCGGGAGCGGGTAGTTTACGTAAATCATATTCCTCGGGAGATAAATTCAGTAGCTCATTCACTTGCTAGTTGGGATGTAAGGAACCTAGGTTCCAATGTATTTTGGAGGAGTCCTCCAGATTTTATTTTATTTTCGTTAGGGAGAGACTCTATGTTTTGAGTTGTCTGCTTTGTTTTACCTTTCATACTTTACCAAAAAAAAGTTTAGCAGCCCAAAGGAAATTTAAGGTAGTAAGATAGTGGATTAATTGAATTTGATGTTTGAATTTAAGGTGTTATTTTAGTAAATCATTATGATGGATATAATGGTGAGAGGAGATTCCATGGAGAAGGCTGTGAGACGGTTGATGGACGGTGGTGATGAGGCTCTGACGATCAGACGGCGGGCCAAAACGTTTCTTATCATTTTGGTCATATATAGAAATGATTTATTTAACTATTGAAACCCTTGGAATATTTGCCGCCAAGCAAAATCAGATAAATGAATTTACAGCAGCCGCTTAGTAGCGAAGCTGAAAGAAAAAAAGGAACGGCAGAAGCACATATATAAATATAGAGAGATAAATGGCAACACCTTAGCAGAGGTAAAAAAAGACAAAAAGAGCAGAATACAACAATCCTGTATATCAGGATTCCATGCATAGTGCATACAATATCAAGGAGGAAGAGCTGTCATGATCTATGTACCATGTAATATACTAATTAAATTAGAATACGACTCAACAACAAAAATAAAATGAATCAAACTACCAAAAAGAAACGTAAGAACAATTCCCAGAAGGGATATAGGATATCCAACAGTAAACATACAATTTTCCTTGTCACCACTACCAAGGAATAGGATATCTTCGAATACTTCCTACTTATTGTTGTGAGGTTATTACAAGGGTCCAGGGAGTTAGTTCCGATATGATTAATTTATTCAAAAACCAATTTACAAAAGATGAGATTGAGATACATAAAACTAATTTAATATTTGTATGCGTAATCTTTTCAATTAGGTTATCAGTATCACTATTATTTATTTCTTTACTTATTATTATTATACCATTTATTATGTTATAACATCGTATGAATCAAATTAACAAATAGTAAATGATTTTTTGTAAAGAAAAGTTAAAATAAATATGACGAGTTAGAATTGCAAATATATTTAAACAGGTAGTCTGGGCAGCCCAAGTCCGAAGATGAAAGGAATAAGTATATGAACTGTGAAGATATTGTGACTGAGGGCACGATGAAACGTCATAGGTAAACCCTTTGACCAGTGATCAAGTTGTTAATGTCACAGACAATATAGCCAAAGAAAAATCGTAGCACTGGAACTATGGCAAATCAGGGGAGAAACATCTACAGGAGAAGACAACAAATCTTGAGACAAAAATTGCAAATATTCATCCATAAACTCATGCTACAGCCGACACTAACCATGGCATATTCCCCAAACACCTACTTATCTTGTGATGCTTTTATATTGGGTGTGTTATTTTCATAAAGACAAATGCATTCACGCACACTG